TTACACATCTTCCGGCACTACGGGGTGCCAGAGGACAAAGTGTCTGACCGGGGTCCCCAGTTCACATCCAGGGTCTGGAAGGCATTCATGGAACGTCTGGGAGTCTCGGTCAGCCTGACCTCTGGTTTTCACCCAGAGTCTAATGGGCAGGTGGAACGGGTGAATCAGGATGTGGGTAGGTTCCTGCAGTTCTACTGCCAGGACCGGCCGGGGAATGGTCGGTGTTCTTGCCATGGGCCGAATATGCCCAGAACTCTCTCCGCCACTCCTCCACTAACCTAACGCTATTTCAATGTGTTTTAGGTTATCAGCTGGTTCTGGCACTGTGGCATCAGAGCCAGACCGAGGCTCCTGCGGTGGATGACTGGTTTCGGGGGCGCGGAGGAGACGTGGAACGCTGCTCACGTCCACCTCCAATGCACCGTGCATCGCCAGAAGGCCAACGCTGACCGCCACCGCAGTGAGACCCCGGTCTTTGTACCGGGTGATCAGGTCTGGCTCTCGACCCGGAATCTGCCCCTCCGCCTGCCCTGCCGGAAGCTGAGCCAACGGTTTGTGGGACCGTTCAAAGTCCTGAGGAGAATAAACGAGGTTACTTATAGGTTACTACTCCCTCCAGATTACCCTCCAGACACATGGAACCCCTCGTTCCATGTGTCTCTTCTCAGGCTGGTGGTGGTTGGTCCGCTCCAGGAGTCTGATGTGCGGGAGGTCCCTCTGCCCCCTCTGGACATCGAGGGGGCCCCGGCGTACTCCGTTGGTTCCATCCTGGATTCGAAGCGTCGGGTGGGGGGCCTTCAGTACCTCGTGGAATGGGAGGGGTACGGTCCGGAGGAGCGGTGCTGAGTCCCGGTGAGGGATATCCTCGATCCCTCCCTGTTGCAGGATTTCCACCGTCGCCATCTGGCTCGCCCTGCTCCGCGTCCTCCTGGTCTTCCCCTAGGCCGGTATCGGCGCGCTGCTGGAGCTGCGCGTCAAGGGAGGGGTAATGTCATGACTTCCTCCGAGGCTGACTCTTCTCCTTGTTCGGGCAGTCTTCGGCGTTCTTCGTCACCGGCCTTCTAGCCACTGCCGCTCCTCATCTCATCATTCCATTAGTTTTGTCTTGTTTATTACACACACCTGGTTCATAACCCCTCATCAGTAGCTGTATAAGTGTTCCCTCTGCCCCCTTGTCTTTGTGTGTGATTGTTTATTGTGGAGGATAGAGTAGCTCGGTGGAGCTCCGTGTATTTTGTATCGCCGGGATATTTCCCCATGTGCCTTGTATTTTCCAGTGCGCCTGTTTTGCGCTCTTGAGTGTTCTGATGCATTACTGCGTAACTTTGTGCTTCAGAATAAATCCTGTTATTCTGTGATTTACCCTCCTGTGCCTGACTCCTTCCAAATCACCTCATCAAACAACTAGTGCTCAGCATATGTGGGAACTCCTTCAAGACTGTTGGAAAAGCATTCCAGGTGAGGCTTTGTAGAACTTTGTAGGCCACATGTGCTGCACCAGAATCGCATGTTCTCTTCTGCTTTATCATGGTTTGAACGATGTGCGTAATTCCAGTCCATATAATACAGTATAATACAATACAGTACAGTAATACAGTTCACACTCAGAAGATTAGCCTACTGGAGCTAGTTTCATTTATTTACCTAAGAGAGCATACAGCTAGCTACATCTATGGGCTTTTATGTTTTCCTGTCATGGGTAATGTGCAGTAGCCTATAACATATATGTATTAGATAACAGCACAATCATTTGTTCTTTTTGGGGCTTGGGCTCATTAAATGTCTTTAATGTAGGGCTCATAAAATGTATTTAATGTATGGCTCATCAGGCTCAGGGAGAATCAGGCTTGAATTTTAGATGAAAGCTCTAATCAAATCCAGACATAGGCCTATTTATATGCTTTATAATGCTTTTGAAGGACACTTCTGATTTTGGCGGGTTACCCGGGAGAAAGTGATTTATTCTCGGGATGGAATATTTGTATGTCACGCTCGTTGATAGACGGATCAGACCAAGGTGCAACGTGGTATGCGTTCCTTTATTAACTGAATATAAACAAAATACAAACGAACGTGAAGTTCAACAGGCTACACAACCACAAGCCAAAACAGAAACAAGATCCCACAACTAAGGTAGGCAAAATGGCTGCCTAAGTATGATCCCCAATCAGAGACAACGATAGACAGCTGCCTCTGATTGGGAACCACACCCGGCCAACATAGAAATAGAAAAAGGACTGCCCCGGCTCTGGTAGGGAGCAGATAACCGGTGCTGGACTGGGCACCGGTGGAGCGGACTGCTCCAGCACTGGAGTGGAGCAACTAACCGGAGCAGGCACGGACCTTACCGGACTGGAAACACAAACCACTGGACTGGTGCGAGGAGCAGGCATGGGCCGTACCGGGCTGGGGACACGCACCACTGGATTGGTGCGAGGAGCAGGCACAACCCGTCCTGGCTGGATGCTCACTTTAGCCCGGCAAGTGCGGGGCGCAGGCACCAAGCGCACTGGGCTGTGAATGTGCACTGGAGACACAGTGCGTATCACAGCACTGAATGGTCCCACGCTCCTTAAAGCGAGTGCGGGGAGTTGGCTCTACTCTGAAACCTGGCTCCGCCAGCCTCTGCTCTAAGGACTGTGCTCTCTGCTGCTGGAGGGTTAACTCCTCTCTCAGCTCCTCCTGTTGCCTGGCCAGCTCCTCTCTCAGTGCATCCACTGACTCCTTCTCCCTGTGGGCCTCCTGCAGCGCCTCCCTCTGAAGGGAGATCTCCTGCTCCCTCTTAGCTATCAGCCCCCGTAATGTGGTGGTCTCCTCTCTCAGAGTGCTGAGCTGCAGGTCTTGGAGGGCCTCTATCCTAGCGGCCTCCTCCTCCTCCACAATCAGCCCTTTCAGGGCCTCCTGCTGCTTCGCCAACCACCCCATGTGCCCCCCCCCCCCCCAAACATTTTCTTGGGGCTGCCTCTCGGGCTACCTTCGCAGTCTTGAACTACGATGTCGCCGTTGATCCTTTCCTGACTGGGCTTCTTCCTTCGCCCAGGGTCCCTTACCGGCCAATATCTCCTCCCATGTCCAGAATGTCTTCCCCACCTGTGTCCAGCATGTCTGCTCCACCTGGCCACGCTGCTTGGTCCGTTGGTGGTGGGATCTTCTGTCACGCTCGTTGATAGACGGATCAGACCAAGGTGCAGCGTGGTATGCGGACATATTCCTTTATTAACTGAATATAAACAACAAAATACAAACGAATGTGAAGTTCAACAGGCTACACAACCACAAGCCAAAACAGAAACAAGATCCCACAACTAAGGTAGGCAAAATGGCTGCCTAAGTATGAACCCCAATCAGAGACAACGATAGACAGCTGCCTCTGATTGGGAACCACACCCGGCCAACATAGAAATAGAACATCTAGAATTCACACCCTGACCAAACCAACTAGAGTAAAACAGGGCTCTCAAGGTCAGGGTGTGACAGTGTAAAATACCCAGAACATATTCAACCCTAGTTCAGACACAGGAGGACCCTACCATATAAATTACAGTTTTCCGTTACAGTGTAATATAGTAATGGCATCATTTTTAGACATATTACAAGTGTTACTCAGAAGGTAAGTAGGCCTACAAGACAAGTCTCGTGCTCCTGTTTGACCTTATAATTTCTAAACAGGGCATATCAAAAGTTGTGATATTGACATTAGTGAAGACTTCTTCTATCACTATTATCATAGTAATCCTGCCTGAGGCCAAAAGATGTTCCTCTGACTTAATTTGCCTTTCATCCATATTTGGCCATAGTAAGTAGGCCTAGACTAGCTACTGTTTATATTCTTTGTCTTCATGGTCCTCTGTCACTTCAGACTGGCAACACAAGTAAACCCAATCCCAACACCAGCCTGAGTAGCAGTTGAGAAAGGATAGCTGAACTCAGCTGAGTCAAGGGAGGTTGGCTTGTAATCCTATGGTTATGCAGTCTGACAGATGACAGTGTCCATCCATAATAACAAAGTTCATAAATAAGATAGTAGACCCTCAGTATGGTGTTATAAATCCGATCATACCACATGACCATGGACAGTGACACGGACACACAGGTGAACTACATGCACAACCTAACTGAGTTGACAAGACTAAACTATAGCTACCCAGACCTTATTTTTTCATACATTTAGCCTACTAAAGAGATCAGTTTATTAGATAGGCTAACTAACTGTGTAGTATATGGAGATATACACCTTTAAGGATAGTCCATAACTCCCTTGTGTCAGAGAGGACTAGGAAAAGCGAGAGGATTTACTCCACCAAAAATCTGTCCACATTAAGTGATTCGTTTTTGTATGGGGGGCAATGAGAGAGTCGAATTTAGTCAAGATACAAATGAATTGCTATTTTGATACTTGAGGCTTATTTGAACTAATATACATTTCATAATGTTTAGGTTGTTACGAGTTTACTGATATAAGTTTGATGCACGTGACATCCTGGCAAAATAAAACAAAAAAAACGTTATATTGGAGTTGTCCCTGTTGAAATTTGAGACGTCTATGCTTAGTCATGAGGCAGCCTCATAGCATCTCACTCTCCATTGAAAACAGGTGGTTGACGTCAACATCCCTCATCGAATATTCAAAAAATATTCAAATAACGAGATGTATCCACCAATCCAAAGAGAGGAATAGGTGGGAGCTTGACAGCCCGCTGTTCCACTCTGTGGACAATGAATCACATTGTTAGGGCGGAGACACAAGCATCTCATCATTGTATCCAGTATCTCTGCTTGTGTTTAACAGCCAATCAGTATCCCGCTTGAGATGGAAGGTTAAGTGGATATGCAAATGAGCTGTGTTCCTTGAAGTGTGCCTGCTTGCACTTTATTATTTTACCATGCTTCGGTTTGATATTAAAAGTATAAAGTAAATGGTATGTCAGTCTCTATTGACAAGTTAATTCTACAGTGCCATCAAGAGCACGACATGGTGGCAGAAGAGTGGATGTAGCTGCATGAGTGAGAACGTGGACTTCGCCAGCAGACTACCAACGCTAATGGACGTGAGTGAAACAAAAATATTTTGATATGAGTTTGGGATTAGCAGCAATGCAGTCGTGTATCAGGGTTTCCCAAACTCGGTCCTGGGGCCCCCCTGGGTGCATGTTTTGGTTTTTGCCCTAGCACTACACAGCTGATTCCAATAACCAACTCATCATCAAGCTTTGATTATTTGAATCAGCTGTGTAGTGCTAGGGCAAAAACCTAAATGTGTTTGGGAATCCCTGGTTTAAACCTTGCAGAAAATTGGCGGAAATGGGAACAAGACTGAACCTGTACTATGTTGCCAGTAGGCTAAACGACAAGCCGGTGGAAAATAGCCGTTTTTCTACACTGCATCGGCGAGGATGCGCTGGAGATCTACAACACGATGGAGATTCCATATGCTGATCCACAGGACAAGAAAATGGCAGAGGTGAGCAAGTGTTTGAAAAATACTGTGCACCACGGAGGGATACTGTGTTTGAGAAACATCCGTTTTAGGAACACAAGTTCAATGAACAGGCAGGTATTGACATGTTTATAACCAAACTGAGACTGAGAGCACGCAACTGTGAGTTCAGAGACACTGAGGATCTAATGCTAAAGGAGAAAATTGTGTTTAACATCACAGACAGTGGTAGCAGAAAAGACTGTGAGTTGTAGACTGAGACTGTAGTCATAGCCTATGGAGGCACCTGCATCAAACCAAAGGGTGTAATGACATTGTAACACACTCTGCACAAACAAGCTACAGTTCTATGTTACAGACGCATCTGACACACCACTACTAGGCAGAGAGGCCTGTGTTCAGCTTGACCTCATCAGAAAAGTTGAAACAGTTGCACGCCACGCTCAGCCAGCGCTACGCATCTGTGTTCAAAGGACTATGTGAGTTTCCAGGCCAGCACCACATCTACATTGATTCCAAAGACTCTCCTGTTGTTCATGGATGTAGGAAAATCCCATATGCTGTGCTTGACAGGCTGAAAGAGACATTGGACAACCAAGAGCAGAGGGGTATGGTCAGCAAAGTAACAAAACCAAGAGCGTGGGTGAGCAGTATAGTCATAACTGAAAATAAGAATGGCTCTCTTAGGGTATGCTTGGACCCTAAGGACCTGAACAAGTCCATACAGCACCAACACTTCTCCATACACACACCAGCAAACTAGCAGGCAAGAAGGTCTTCACTATTCTAGATGAGAAGGATGGGTATTGGCAAATCAATACCCCATGGGGGAGGTACCAGTTCAATCGCTTACCCTATGGCATAAAAAGTGCCAGCGAGGTATTTCAGCAGATGAACTCAAAGAGTTTTGGTGACATTGATGATGTCTATGTAATTGCAGATGACATGATAATTGCAGCAGCCACCAGAGAAGAGCATAGCGGCATTCTACAGCAGGTGATGGACAGAGCCATCCGTCCGAATGTGAAGTTCAATGATGACAAGATACAGTACATGGTGAGTGAAGTGAAGTGAAGTATATAGGGCACATCACCAGCACAGATGGGGTTAAAGCAAGTTGACAGCAATCACACAAATGCCCCCACCAGAAGACAGAAAATATCTACAGACGCTACTGGGCATGACATGTTTCCTAACCCAGTATATCCCAGACGAAGCCACTCAGAATCTTCCTCAGGAAGGACATGGCATGGCAGTGGCACCCAGAACAACAAGCAGCACTGGAGAGACTGAAAAAAGCAATCTCCACTCCATGCTGAAATTCTTCAATCTACAGGAAGAGATTGAAATCAAGTGCATTGACAAACTGAAAACTCCATCAAGAGCACAACAAACTGAAAACTCTAAACAACTCTCTTCAAGTTGTTCCATGAAAATAAATCCCTAGCCCTAATAACCAGGTAGGCCTATGAACAATAGCCTAATTAACGAATGTGTAATACATAGCCTAGAGATAATGACCATGGCTGAAGCCCAGTATAGCCTTCCACGTTATAATGCGTAAAATGATGTGCTAGGGTTTGTAATGCTGTTATAACTCGAAATTACACAGAATCAATGATGTAAAGTACTTAAGTATAAATACTTTAAAGTACTACTTAAGTAGTTTTTTAGGGTATCTGTACTTTACTATTATATTTTTGCCAACTTTTACTTTTACTCCACCACATTCCTAAAGAAAATAATGTACTTTTTACTCTATACATTTTCCCTGACACCCAAAAGTACTTGTTACATTTTGAATGCTTAGCAAGACAGGAAAATTGTCCAATTCACGCACTTATCAAGAGAACATCCCTGGTTTCCCTACTGCCTCTAATCTGGCAGACTCACTAAACACAAATGCTTTGTTTGTAAATTATGTCTGAGTGTTGGAGTGTGCCCCTGGCTAGCCGTAAAAAAAAAAAAATGAATACAAGAAATCATTCCGTCTTGTTTGCTTAATAGAAGGAATATGAAATGATTTATACTTTTACTTGTACTTTTTATGCTTAAGTATATTTTAGCAATTACATTTACTTTTGATACTTAAGTATATTTAAAACCAAATACTTTTAGACTTTTACTCAAGTAGTATTTCACTTTTACTTGAGTAATATTCTGTGAAGGTGTCTTTACATTTACCACTGCACAGAATGCACTGTCGGATTGTAGAGCGCTCGCTCCTGCGCATCTATCTCTCCGCCATTTCTCACTGAGCTGAAGTATGTAGGGCTGGCTACATTCTAGGGCTATTTATACCCTACTGAGACGGACTCTACGGAGCGTAGCGCAGGGTCGTAATGTCGTTTTTCGTCACAAAACGGGCAGCTCCTTGTAGACATTCGATGTACTCCTGTGCAACATTACATTTGTAACGCGCCATATCATTCCTTGCGTAGCAGTGGGGCAGTGTTGTGTAGGCAATGAAGCTTGCTTGGTTCCTTGATCTGATCTATACCCACTGGGCAAAAACGTGTTGAATCAACGTTGTTTCCACGTCATTTCAACCAAAAAAGTATATGTGAGGACCAGGGACGGCTTGTTCAATAGGGCGATATGGGCGACGCACTGCCAAACGGGAAAAGGAAGGGATTTTTTTTCTAATCAATTATATCACGGCAACAGCAGTTATCAGTGTTCACGTCTGATCTGCCAGCCACTAAATGTCAAATCAGGCTAAAGTCGTGCTTCAAATGGCCCCGCCCGTTTTTTGGGCGATTTCAGTCAGGTTGAAAATTGCCCAGAAGTCTCTCATAGCCTGTCATGTAAAATCTATTTTTTTCAAATTTCAAAGCTTTCAATACATTCTCTATGGGTGTCTGTGGGCATGCACTTACGCACTTTCGTCATACGTGACGTAACGTTGAACGTAACTAAGACAATGGCGGCTAACAGCGTCTATGTTGCGACCTGCAGTGTGGCGTTATTTTATGTTTTTAATTTGTAGACTTAGTTTACAAACATTCTGCAAACATTCTGCTTTGGACTGATCTTCGGTTTTGGACTGATCTTGTTGATCGTGTACATACCCGCTACGAACGGACTAAATAATGAAAACGCTGCTGGCAGCGGAATCCCAATACAGCTGGGAGACTTGGCTGGATGACAGAGTCCCAGACAGAGAGGTGGAGCCGGCCGGCTTCACCCTGGTCAGAGCGGACCGCGATCCTGGTAAGAGAGCGACTCTGTACCCCGACATTGAACTGCTTTCTGTGTCATTGAACCTTACTATTGTTGATAAAACAAGTTTACTGGAGAACGGAGACCAAGTAGAGACTTTTGGACAAGGTGGATAATTGTATAATATAAGGCAGTTTATTCAGAGGTAAAGATATCTGGAATCGCGTGCACGGACCCGTTCGTCAAACTCGTAGGGAGTTTATCAGAAGAGCCCCTAAACATTGTGTGCTGACATTTTATACAATAAAATGAAGTAGGTTGAATCTAGTAGTTCTGATCTTCTGATTGGTCCTGATGAGTTGGGCGAGGTCACCTCCAGGCTAGTGTCACTGTTGCATTGGCTCTGAGTCGGGTTCTCTGTCTTCAGATGTTCAGCCTAAGAGAAGAGGATTTGTGTGTGTGTGTGTGTGTTTGTTATCAGTGTGTGTGTGTGTGTGTGTGTGTGTGTGTTTGTTATCAGTGTGTGTGTGTGTGTGTGTGTGTGTGTTTATCAGTGATGATGTGTGTGTGTGTGTGTGTGTGTGTGTGGGTGTGTGTGTGTGTGTGTCCTCAGGGCAAGAACTCGTGAGTTGGAAGAACTGAGAGACCTATGGCGTGGGTGTTATCCTTAGCCACCTGCTGACAAGGCTGACAAGATAGGACTCTTGTTCATTGTATTGAATACAAAGGCCCAACACAAAATGGGTCATGCACAAGATTTTAGTCAGACCAAGCTATAACATTATATATTTACTACGACAGTATATTCAACCAAAAGCTAATATAACAAAGGCATCAGAGATTATTTATAATCTGTCACAGAAACTGGAATCCATCTCCCCAGATCAGTCAATAAATGCTTCTGGTATTGACTTATATGCTGCCCCTGTCTTCATGTTGTTGCTGGACATATCTTTTTTAAAATGTGTGTAGGTCACCTAAATCATCAGAAAAATTGCCCCTCCTGAGAATTTTTTCAGGAGCCGCCACTGGTGAGGACCTTGAATCAACATGGAAAACTGATTGGATTTGCAAAAAGTCATCAATGTAAGGGAATTTCGTATCTGATTATTTCACATTGCTATGCGGGAAGCCAATCAACTTCAAAATCACTGCAACTTCAAGATTGCTGTCTTGGTTTAGCTTGGCATTAAATAATCAGCCTATAAAAAATGTATGCACTCACTACTGTAAATCTACTAAATGACTAAAATGTAAATGTAACATTTTCCATTGATAACCAAATATAATCTCAGCGACTGTTCAAACAATAAACCAAACAACACTGTAGCCTAATTAGAATTCCCCCAAAAGGTATTTTGTTTAGAAGTACTGTAATAACTACCGGATTGACTACTTAAAAACAGCCCCAAGCCATGTGTTTTTTCTCTGTTAGCAAAATGACGGCGTTCTATTTTTAGCTGATATGGGAGCGATACACTCAAGTAGCATATTAAACTGGGATAATGTTGTAGGTTATACTGGCAAGTAAATAATTTTGCCAGGGCATATGATTTAATTTGAAATCTGATTATTTCACACGTAGGAAGCTAAAAGGCCAGCTTGCTTGCTGTTTTTAGCCAGCTAGCTAACAAGCTGCTAGTGGCGTAGCCTACAGCCAACTGGCAGGCACACGAGATAATGTAAAACAAACCTAAACTTTCATTACATGTAGCTATTATTCAAATATGCAGTTGGTTTTCATTTAAATAAGCTAACAGTGGTGATGATGTTTTAAACGTGATTCTTCTTTGCTTTTACCACAAATGGGAAGACAACAACAAGAAAATCTCTGCTATCGCCCCCTTGTGTATGTTGCTATTCGAAGGTTTAGGAACACATGGACCGGCGAGGGTATAATGTTACAAAAGGTGCATGTTGCTCCAAAAAATCTGTCTCTACCCAAGAGCACGCATGTATGTAGATCTACGCACATAAAGCCAACCTCTCCACTAAGTACTGCTCAATTTGGAGTGGGGTTTATGATGCAGGAAGGATGGATGGTAAAAATAGCTTTTTCTAGCATCTTTGACAAACGGAGATTTTTTTTCCGGGCCCCTTACTTCTGCAAGGTCGTGGCGAAAATGATGTTGTCCGCCTTCGTTTTCTTGGCTCTTGCATTAGAAAACGCACGGCGCTTGTAACGCCAAGGTAGTGGGTTCGATCCCCGGGACGACCCAAACACAAAGAAAATTATGCACGCATGACTGTAAGTCGCTTTGGATAAAAGCGTCTGCTAAATGGCATATTATTATTATTATAAAACATCTTATGTTCAGAGGAAGAGTTTAAGCTAAAGTGACCGAAACGGTTAGTAGAGCATCGTGCGATCATGTTATTTTATGCGACTTCGGCGCATACACAAACACAAGCTTGCCTCAAGGGGGAATTTGATGGAAGCCTTCATAAATGAACAGCTACTGTGTTCAATACATACTGGTACGAGAGTCTACGAGAGTCTACATGTTCATAACGGATATAGCGCAATAACAGCACATTGCATTTATCCCATTTTAACGTTGAACGTCTTGGTACATTTATCGACATATCTTATACAATTCTAGGATCTAGGATTAGTTCACGGGAGATTGATCTCAAAATAACCTATGTTTGTTATACATATAGTAGCACTTATTCAAATAGGCTAGGCTTTGGAATGGAAGGAGTAGGACTAGTGTAGACTAGTAGCTTAGATATGATAAATAATAAGCTACACTCATTCCCCTGGCGTGCACTATACAGGAAAATATACTTTATAAAAAGCCTTTCAGGCTTATGTTTATGAGATAGCTCAGCCATTCAAATGTTTATATAAATAAAATGTGGACCTACTGTATGTATGCATACTTTAAAGTTTAATATCCCACCATTACGCGAAAGGGACTAGTATCCTATGAAAGTAGAGACATTTTCTTCAGTTCACAACTCAAGATATCACCACAAGAATGAAATAGGATCACTTCTGTTTTACGTTTCAATAGAACTCTACTGTATATTAATCAATTACTGAAGTTCATGTGAAAAGAAAGTAATTATATTCCATTGTACTCCATTCAATCTATTATATTATTTAGCTATATAATTAGTTCCTGTGTTTTGTGTTTGTTTCCCTATTCCAGGTGTTGTTTGACATCACTGTGGCAGGCCATGAGGTTGGCAGGATTGTGATTGGCCAGTTTGAAGATGTTGTTCCACTGACTGTGAATAACTTTGTGGCTCTTGCCACAGGGGAGGTAGGCCACTGTACGCTGTCTGTGTAAAAGTTGTTATTGTGGTGTGAGTGAACAAGAGAGGAAAGCATCAGAATACCAATTATCCATCCATAGATCATAGATCTATGATCATGGCTGTTTAGAAGAAAAAACAACCCATTGATTACAGTTTCTCCTGGCCCATGGATTACAGTTTCTACACAAGTTGTAAAATCCTGAACTTCCCCTTTAAGAGTTGACATGACGTTGTTCTTGAAGAGTAGACTGAACACATCATCTAAAGTAGCCTATAGTCTAACACACCTGCATATTTCTTGCACATTTGCAAATGGATAGGCGATACAATCATCTGAATTTCCCAAATCGTTGTTTTTGCAGAAAGGATACAAAGGAAGTACGTTTCATCGGGTAATCAAGGACTTCATGATCTAAGGCAGTGACTTCACAGCTGGAGATAAGAAAGATGATCACTTAGAGTTTGACCTGTCTCATATATTTGATCTCATGTTGAATGTTGGGAATAGTGCATCAACAAAGCAGAGAAGGTGGTTACGTATACTCCCCCAAAGTTCTCAGTGGGCCCATCCCAGAGGGCACCCTATTCCCTATATAGTGCACTACTTTTGACCAGGGCACATAGTCTCTAGTCCCAGTCTCTTGATCCGTCCCCACACAGTCCCTAAATGCTGTTTCCTCATTTGTTGCCACAGGTAGAAGCATTAACGCAACCAATTTGCTGATGAGAACTTCAAGCTGAAGCACCTGAGAGCAGGTTGGGTCAGTATGGCCAACACGGGCCCAGACACCAATGGCTCCTAGTTCTTTATCACTGCGGCCAGGGCTCCTAGGCTGGACGGGAAGCATGTGGTGTTTGGAAAGATCCTAGAGGGTATGGTAAGTGGAGGCAAACAATTTGTTGGTAGAGTTTGAATCATTTTTTTGGCCACTGACATTGAAAAAGTATTTGTCACTCACACATATACACACGCACACACGTGTACACACACAGGATATACACAGTGGTAAGATGAATCACTAGTACATATTCTAATCTTCTCTTTTCAGTCTGTGGTTCACACCATCGAGCTCCAAGACACAAATGACCGGAACCTGCCCTATACAGAGTGTGTCATTGTCAACAGTGGCAAGATTGAAGTCAAAAAGCAATTTATTGTGGAGGTGGAGGGTTGGTAGGGATATCACTACACTTTCACTACTTTTTCACTCTATCTAGATAAATAGTATGCAGGTGTTGTTTATGTTTATTTATTACTAGAGCATATCCGTGGCTCTCTAATGGGTATACTAACTATTAACAAAATAAATACAGTGAATTAATTCATGAGAAGATGTAATTGATGATGAATATGTTAAAACTTTTGGATGTAATTTGTTGTTTGTTCTACACTAATTGTCAAATGATCAGTATGTAATTTGCACTATCCACTCAGCACTTTGTCATGCTAAGCTGAAAACTTTTTTTCTCTCACATTGTTAATGCGAGTAAACAAAGTATGCAATACTTCACACATTTTCACATATGCTATGCATAAACGTCATCACCCACAGCTGTATGTCATTAAATGCATTTTAACATGTTAATGAGGTTCCCTTTGTGAATAAAGTATGTTGCGTTGTCATGGTCATAATATTTTTCTATTCTCTATGAGAAATCAAATTGTCGGGATTAATCAGGAAGATGTAGTAGTTAGCAGGCGGCAAAGTTATTAATATATTTTTACAAAATTGTGCACAAATGCATTAGGCAACGTTTCTGTTAGGTCCCTTTGAGGGTTCGGCGAGACGTTATCCCACTGACGTTCAGAGAACGTTCTAGGAACATTAAAACCTCGGGACCATAAGAGGACATCCTTGGGGACGTCCCTGGAACAAAACGGGAACTAGACAAAAATCTCCAGGGGACCATGACACAACAACCCAATAACGTCCTAAAAAAACGTCCTCAAAGATGTCCCTGGAACAAACCGGGAACCTCCAGGGCACCATGACACAACATCCTGACCACTTTAGGAAACCATTTCGTGACGTTCTGGGGATGTCCTAACAACTAATTTTGGTTTGCAGGGTAGGACGCCGCGTGATGGTCCCAAGGGAACGTTCTCTGGTGGACATTTGTGTAGTTCCCTTTAAGTTATTATAGTGGACATGAGTTGCTCATGGTTGCTCATGGTCATGTGATGGGTAACCCTGCCTGCGACTTCAAAATCAGTTTCGGCCCTCAGACCAAAAGGGAATTTCCTCTTGGTCTATTGGTCAAGATGTTGGTTCCTCCCGAGGTAGACCAGGGTTCATATCCCACATGTTACATTAACAGGAAGTCATTGAGGACCATGTAGGACAATTGTAAGATGTTCTCAAGACATTTGTTTTACCAGTTGTCAGAACGTCACGTGACGGTCCCAGGTGTCCCAAACCATTATAAGTAAAGTAATTAAATGTTATGGGGGTTTTAAGATAAGTGGTACGCTGTTCAGCTAAAATAGTGTACAAATCTTTAATCGAAGAAAATATGATTACATTTGACATAATCAAACCTTTCAATGTGACCACACCTGGGATATGAACTCATAACTTCTGGATTTGGGGTACAGTGATCTTTCTGCTGCCCCACAAAGTCTGTAGCATTCTCAGAAGTCCCCTACACGTTAATTACCTACAGTGCATTAGGAAAGTATTCAGACCCCTTGACTTTTCATCAAGGAAAAATACTTTGCTCCGTTCATCTTTCCCTCGATCCTGACTAGTCTCCCAGTCCGTGCCACTGAAAAACATCCCCACAGCATGATGCTGCCACCACCATGCTTCACCGTAGGGATGGTGCCAGGTTTCCTCCAGATGTGACACTTGGCATTCAGGCCAAAGAGTTCAATCTTGGTTTCATCAGACCAGAGAATCTTGTTTCTCATGGTCTGAGAGTCCTTTAGCTGCCTTTTTGCAAACTCCAAGCGGGCTGTCATGTGCCTTTTACTGAGGAGTGTCTTCCGTCTGGCCACTTTACCATAAAGGCCTGATTGGTGGAGAGCTGCAGAGATGGTTGTCCTTCTGGAAGGTTCCCCCATCTCCACAGAGGAACTCTGGAGCTCTGTCAGAATGACCATCGGGTTCCTGACCAAGGCCCTTATCCCCGGTTGCTCAGTTTGGCCGGGTGGCCATATCTAGGAAGAGTCTTGGTGGTTCCAAATTTCTTCCATTTAAGAATGATGGAGGCCACTGTGTTCTTGGGGACCTTCAATGCTGCAGACATTTTTTGGTACCCTTCCCCAGATCTGTGCCTCGACACAATCCCGTCTCGGAGCTCTACGGACAATTCCTTTGACCTCATGGTTTTTGCTCTGACATGCACTGTCAACTGTGGGACCTTATATAGACAGGTGTGTGCCTTTCCAAATCATATCCAATCAATTGAAATTACCACAGGTGGACTCCAATTAGTTGTAGAAACATCTCAAGGATCATCAATGGAAATAGGATGCACCTGAGCTAAATTTTGAGTCTCATAGCATTGGGTTTGAATACTTATGTAAATAAGGTATTTCTGTTTACATTTTTTATAAATTAGCAAAAACATTCTAAAAACCTGTTTTCACTTTGCCATTATGATGTATTGTCTGTAGATTGATGAGGATTTGTATTTATTTAATCCAATTTTAGAATAAAGCTGTAATGTAACAAAATGTGGAAAAAGTCAAGGGGTCTGAATACTTTCTCTCTGCACTTAGCAAAAGAGTGCCATCTGCACTTTTATTTTAGTTCTAAGTTAATGTGACTATTTCTCTCATTGATTTCATTTACTTGTTTATAGAGTTTTCTATACATTGGTCTAATGTTGGTTGGGACATATTATTCTGTTTCAATGTTACTCCTTAAATTAAATAGTTTTTCTTGAGTGTATCTTGATGGGGTGATATGTAAAGAAACGAGGGTGCACGTGCCTGGGTATAACTTATTTTGGGGTAGAACGTTTCTTTGCAACCATCAGGTGACGATCCCGGAACAAAACCTTCAGGGGACCATGACAGAACATTCTAAGAGCATCCTATAAACATCCTTGTGGCATCCCGGAACAAACCGGGTAGTAGACAAAAACATCCAGGGGACCATCACAGAACGTTCCAAGAGCATCCTATGAACGTCCTTGAGGACCACCCTGGAACAAACCGGGTACACTATCTAGAACCTAAAAGGGTTAATCGGCTGTCCCCATAGGAAAACCCTCTGAAGAACCCTTTTTGGTTTCAGGTAGAACCTTTTTTGGTTCCAGGTAGAACCCTTTTGGGTTCCATGTGGAGGGTTCTACATGGAACCCAAAGGGGTTCTACCTGGAACCAAAAAAGGTTCTACCTGAAACTAAGGTTCTACCTAACCCTTTTGGAGTCCTTTTTTCTAAGCGTGTACTAGACAAAAACATCCAGGGCACCATGACAGATCGTTCTAAGAACGTCCTATAAACATCCTTGGGGACGTCCCCGGAAACAAACTGGGACCAAGACAAAAACCTTCACGCGACCATGACACAACGTCCGGAGAACATCCTAAAATCGTCCTTGGGGATGTCCCGGGAACTAGACAAAACATCCACAGAACAATGACACAACGTCCTGACGACTTTAGGCGACTATTTTCGGGATGTTCTGGGGACGTCCTAATGACTAATTTCTGTTTGCATGGAATTCATCTATGTTATCAGAAACAGTCCATCCTATCATATCATATCATTCGTTATTTTGCAATGCAATAATAGTAAAGGAAAGTACCAGCAAGGGTATTTCCTATAATAAAATGCTATTGTTAGAATTTCTGTATTTGTACGGGTTGTTATTTTGTTCATATGGACCTCAGTCTCAAGTGGTGTTAGTATTTGTTCTAGTGTTTGTTTGCATTGGTATTTTTCCAAACTCAAGCTAATTACTGGTGAGCTTACTAGTTCATCAATTAATACAATAGGAATGAGTCTTTCTGCCTTGTAGAAATACTGCAGTATATCAATGAGTCGCTAGGGAAAAAAATCCATTCATGGGCTAAATATGGTATGAATTAATAACTTCTGGGGGGCCAGTAGAACACGCAGACATTTGAAATGAATGGTCAAGTGCAAGTGTTGGGGCTGACAGGTGATTTGCGTAAGTTGACAGCACTGTGAACTAATGAGAACACAGTGTGATTTGTTTTCTTCACTCCCATGTCTCCACACTGCCAGGGCTAGAGGAAGAAAACAGCCATGGACACAAAGGTCAGAGCAAGAGGATAAATCTCATGAGAACACCATGGAACACACAGACACACAACACACACACACACACACACACGCACACACGCACACACACACACACACAGACACACACACACACACACACACACACACACACACACACACTAAAAACACACACACAGAAAGTCTATATTCTCCATCTCCCTCCATCTTTCCACTCCAGCTGAAATGAAAAGCTACCTTCCCTGATCGCATGGTAGCTTCATATGCAATTACTTATACTGTATACAATGGCCTCATCAAAACAGTGCATCTCCATCGAAACCTGTTCTAATGTATTTTTCTGTACTTCATTCCAGGTAGTCATATACATGATGTGTGCAGTGTATCTGTAGTCATTCTGAACCATATCTCAGTGGTTGGGCATGTAATGAGAGGTCTGACCATGCAGCGTGTACACAAGAGTGGAAAATAGTCCAATTCGGTAACTGGGTAAGAGCAGTCCAGAGCTGGTTAGGAATATATGAGAGGATCAATGGGAGATGGGCTAAAAGTTGGCTCTCTGTCCATTGCAGGGCTGGGAGAGGCTGTGAAGGGATGACAGGCTTCATTAGCAACAACACTGGGCAGCATGCAGGGCTCCCACAGGACCCTCAGTGCAGGATGATGGGACAGTATGCTAGAAAGGTCAAGAACAGACAAATCAGCATCGCAGAACAAAAGCCTGATAGAACCACAGAACCATACAGACCAGTGCAACTTTCTGCCCGCAAATAAATGGCCTATCAATTATACAGATCTACTTGGTATCTTTTAATCAAGATAGTTAGAAATACAATTCTCGCATGACTCAAACGATGCACCCCCCTGCTCTAATAAAACCAAATAGTGATATCTGATTATATTGTTAAGTTATGTGTGGATGTCACAGACCACAGAATTAAAGAGGCAACTGGTT